CATATGGTTTAAAGAATCAGTTTGTTCTAGAAGACTTTTGTAACAACCAGAAGTACTCTATGCTTTCCCTCCATTTCCCATTTTCTACAGGCAACCACCTCTAACATGTTTAGCTTGATTCTGTTTTTACTTCCACAGCTCCAAATAACAGGCTTACAGTGCCTGCCACTTCTTGATTTTTAAAAAGTTTTAGTCATCATCTATTGATATTCCCCTAAAGCAGATGAGGTTTCATTTTTTCACCACTGCTCCACCCCAAAGCTCCCACGACACACATGCATACTTCCCAATCCTCCAAATTCCTAATCTAGTTATAATTTAGATTAGAACAGTATTCATAGTTTACTTTATTACAACTATATAAATACTGGTTATGGCTCAGCCATGTAACATACTCTACTTTGACTTTGCTGCATAATATTTTATTATACAAAGAGTTATTGTCTTTATTTTTTGTTACATAATTTTCTATGAACCTATCGTGAATATAACCCCAAAGTCTCCACCAACTGTCTTGATCTTCTCTACATATGTTCATACTCTTCAGGAATTCAATTTAATCTAGAAGAAATCTCAATCCCAAGATTTCTGACCTATTCCAGTTTTTGTTCTCCTTTTACCATCATCCTGAGGAACCCATTCGTCTCTATCATATGCTGGATTTCTTATTTTCCATATTCCGTGTTTATCTCTGCATCTCTATTTACTCCCTTGTTTTGGTGGCACACAATCTTCAGTAGCTTGCTCTAATAGAGTATAAGTAATCTTTTTTGAGACTTGCCATAACTAAGCATGAATTTGTCCTCATGTTTGATTGATATTTGTACGGGGTATAAACTTCGGTGTTGGGAATTATTTTCCATCCGGCACTGCTCCATTGCCTCTTAGCTCCTGGTGTTTCATGCATTTGGCAGGACTCCTATGTTTTCCTATGAATCCAAGAAGCTTAGCACTGGTGGAGAAAGTCAGGACAAGCAGGCTAATCCCATTATAAATTTATGACTACCAACCTCAACTGGACTTTCAATAGTACTAATTCGTTCTTTTACAGATGCAAAGGCTATTTAAAAACCTTTATAAACAAACAAACAAACAAATAAACAAACCCTCTCTGCTTTCCTCAAAATTCTGGCATCTCTCCTTCTCCTACACTTTCAACAGATAACTTTGACTTTCACTCTTTGGGAAAAATAAAAGCCATCAGATGGCATCCCCTTGTGTTCTAGAAATGAAACCTGCAAACCACATACATTGATACCCATCTGTTTATCTTTTGATGAGCTGTTTCTCCTCTACTTGTGCCTTAGAGTCTATTCTGTCCATGCTTTCAAAGCCCTGTAATATTGATTTCTCCTCTTTTTTCCCCTTATACATACATACATACGTATATATATATAATTTCTGTCAACTGGATCATTTCCAGTGTGTTTTTTTTTCCACTGCTCAAACCTTACCCATTAGATTAATCATCCAACCTACCAGCCAACCAATCCAATAAACAACAAAGGGCTCTTACTCATATTATCCTTCAGCTATTGCTCTCCCCACCCCTTCACAGGCAAACTCCTTCCAAATTGTTGTCTTTACTCCTCATTTCATAAGCTGTATTCACTTCTCCACCACTTTATTCTGGCTTTCTTGCTAAGGTCCCGGTGACTTACATCAAAAATTTTTGACTTCCCTTATTGTACAAAGATGATCATACTTTCCTTTTGAAATAGTCTTTTTTCCTGGGCTTATGTGACACCATTTTGCTTTTTTTCCTTCTTCTCTTACTAACACTTTCTATCTCCTTTCCCATTATACTGTCATCTACTGTTAGAATTTGTGAAAGTCTCTTTCCTTGGTTCTCTTTTCTTCCAATTCTCTTCTCTTCCCCTAGACAGTCCTACCCATGTGTATGGTAAGAATTACCACCTATAAACAAAGAAATAACATTTTTATCTCTAGTCAAGATCCTTTTTTTGAACTTCAGACCCATATGTCCAATTGCTTACTTGGCATATCATCCTAGGGGTCTCAATGGCACTTCAAACTCAAGATGCCTAAACAAGTTCATCTTTCCTCCAGTGTAGTCACTCCTCTTCCAGTGTCCCTATTTCAATTAATGGTACCTATCTCTCTCCAATTATGTTAGCCAGGACCCTAGAGTCATTCTTGACATTTCCTTCTCCATCATCCCGTACCCAAATCCATCACCAATTTAGTTGGTGGTATTTATCATCAAAATATTTCTCAAATCCATTAATGTCTCTCCATCTTCACCAGTCTAAGCATAAGCATCTATTACCTAAACTTCCTGGATAGTCTCTTAATTGGTCTAACTACTTTTATCCTTGTCCCCCAATCTGTTCTCTATACTATAGAGTCACCTTTTAAAAATGTGTTCTCTATACTATAGTTATCCTTGTCCCCCAATCTGTTCTCTATACTATAGCCATAGTCACCTTTTAAAAATGCAAATCTAAGTACATTATCCTTTACTTAAAGCCTCTACATGACTTCCTTCTGTTCTAAGGATAAAGATTAAAACTCCTTAACTTGGCCTGTAGGTTTTACATGCTCTTCTCCTTACTTAACTCTCCTGCCTTAGCTAGCACCATCTCTTATGCCTTGTTTTCTTGTACCAACTATGATGGTCTTCTTTTAGTTCCTCCAATGGAGGGATGCATGCTGCCTCTTTCAACCATAGGATCTTTGCTTCTGCTGATCCTATTGAGAACCAATATAGTATAGTGACTAAGTATAGAGCACCTGAAGTCTAATTTTCAAAGGAGACTGTCTGGGTTCAAATCCTGATTCTACAACTTATTTGTCCAACCTTGGGTTAGTTATTTTACCTATTGTGCCTCAGTTTCTCCAACTGGAAAACAAGGAATAGCTACCTTCAGGGATGTTATTATGATCTCATGATCTTTTTCAGGGAAAGCTCTTCCCTCCCCTTTTTCATCCAGTTAATTCCTTCTCAAACTTCTATTTTCAGCTCTAGAGTCCCTGTCTCTAAGAAGCCTCCATTTACCTGTCTGGCTAAATCCAATTACTCCATTATATGGTTTCTCATATCTTGAATATCTTATTTGTAATGCTTGATGTAGGTGCAGTTTTACATTTTTTTGAGTAATTTATTTATTTTTGGTCGACATTCTATTTTTCTCAGTAGAATGTCAGCTCCAGGAATGATGTTTGCTTTTGGTCACTATTCTTTGGGCCTAATACAGTGCCTGGCACAGAGTAGGTTCCCATAAAATATTTGTTGCCAGAAAAAGACAGTAAATATCTCTGATGCAAGACGCCTTGATAATTTCTTTTGGTACTTAAATTAGTGCTTTGCATAGTAATTAGTAAGTTTAGAGAAGGAAAATATGGTGGTGAAAATCAAGCAGTTATGTTGTACATCTGCTCCCGGTTCTTCAGCAGGCAACCAGAGAAGGGGCGTTCTCTGCTCAACAAGGCAGGGTCTTGTGAAGAGTATGCATCAAATAAACACACCTGGGTTTGATTCTTGGCTTCCTTATCCTCTGCTGTCTGACCTTAGTCATGTCACTTGACTTCCCACATTCCCAGTTTCCTCATGTCAGTTACACTTCAGTACCCAGCAGAGTCAATTCTTGTTAACTAGGCCACTGACTTATACTAATTTCGATTAACTTAAAGCATAGTATATGATTATCTACCAGCCCCCATGCCAGTGATATGGCTCGCCCCTTGTGTAGGCCAGCCAGTAAGCGTCCCTCTTTGGCACAGTGACAAAATGTTATCTCATCCCTCTTCAGAAAAAAAAAAGTAAAAAGAAAACTGCTTTCGGTCACAAAGCAAAAGAGGGTATGAATCAGTGTGAACTGGGAAAAAACAGTTCCAAGGGCATTCTTAGCAAATTTCTTCTTCCCTGGTGCTTCAAGTCTAAGTTTGAGTGGGTGGGCTGGCTTGGGGGCAGGTAGGATCAGAGGTTCATTTGCCGGTTATCATCTGTGAGACACTGATCTTGAGAACAGAAAAACGCTCTTAACCTTGACAAGACAGCGCTGCCTAGATGCCAGCTGCATCTAGCTCACCACCGCTGCAATCTCAGAGCCGCTTTTCTCCTGCTCCTCTACTTTATAAATCAGCTGAATCCATTTCTTGAGAAACATATAGAAAACGACTTCCTGTTCACCCCATTCAAGAAAAAAACATCCTTTCCCACGGAATAAAAAGAGTAAGCCTCTTGTCCACCTCTTGTGCAACTGGCCACTTAGCTGGGAGGAGAGGAGCGATCTGTGTTTGAACCGTTAGTGGGGTAATGAACAGAATGCAAGCAACGAACACAGTGATGTCTGCGAGAGATGAACACTGTTTCTTCCGCAAGCTTTCTCTTTTCCTCCCTGTTTCAAACTTGTGGGACAGACTGGGGCTGTGAGGTTTAGGGTGTAGTGTGTCCTGTGTATGTAAGTAGAAGGGAAATAGTGTGCACTTCGTGAGCGTTCAGGAGGATGCCGAGCTTGAATTTGGCGAGTGCCTGTGTTTGAAGAACTATGAAAGTATGTGTGTGGGACAAGATCTATACGTGTAAGTGCAGAAAAGTGGTTGTGTGTACGTGGTGAGTGTGTGTGCGCGAGTGTGTGCG